GATAAGGAAAACTGGAATGAGATAGTATGAAATTTAAATTTCAGACAGGCAGATGCCTATGTGATGGGGCAAAGGAAGTTCAGGCTGTTCACTCCAAGAGAGTTGGAAAATGACTGAAACTCTCTTCCCACACTAGAACCAAGGGTCGAGAGGACGGAAGCTGCCATTCCACGATAGCCAGAAGCTGGTTACACTACTCATTGTTGGGGTACACAGCCTGTTTAAGTTGGCAGGAACCAGGCTCAATAAAACATTCACAACCAGGACGGGGCCAATGCATGGGTGCTCTGGTGTGTGAGGGGCTCTTGTAAAAACAGCTCAGTCTCTTCTGCTCTCTGAAAAAATCAAGCACTAGTTCTAATCACACTTGTAACAACAGCCATTTAAGAGAAATGAGTTTGTTCAGGGATAGGAGGGAACTCTATAGCAACAGTAGCCAACACTGCAGACTAAGCTCCTTTGAAATGACTCATTACTTCTCAATCTTATCCCATAAAATGGCTGCCTCAAAAATCTGGTTTAGGGCTGGAGAGATAGCTCAGTGGTTAAGAGCATTGCCTGCTCTTCCAAAGGTCCTGAGTTCAATTCCCGGCAACCACATGGTGGCTCAAAACCATCTGTAAAGAGGTCTGGTGCCCTCTTCTGACCTGCAGACATACACACTGACAGAATATTGTATACATAATAAATAAATATTTTTTTTAAAAAAATCTGGTTTTATCTCCAAAATAACACATGGATGTAAATGTATGCTCTGGAACACAGGTTCGCAGCTGCATAAAACTAGTAAATACTGCTACCCCATGAAGACATTCCTTATTTTTCAGCTTAACAAGGTTTTGTCTTTGGACACCGTCATTGGGAAGGGAGCCATTCAAAAGGTAGACGGTAATTTTTAAGGGAATGCCGGGGCATGCAGAGGATACCACTCCTTAGCACTGGTACCCACTTTATTTAATGGTTCTGGAATGTGGACTCAGGGTCTGGAGAGTGCCACTCCATCTCTACATCGCTCCTGTATTACTCTACCCTTGTAAGCTTTCCAAGGGAACAAAATTCTGTGTGACTTAGGAAGTGGTGAGCATCAAACAGTTTTCAAACTACGCTGTCTTGGGGCCAACACTAACTCACTGGAATTGCTGACCTCTGAGAACAGCCTACAACTGGTCACACACTGTCTCAGCTGGGCCTTTTACACAGGAGTTGACTTAGACCAACAGTGTACAAGGATGGAAGTCGGGCCCCAGGAGACATTTAGGAATGTTATGTTGAGGTGTCTGGACTGGAAGGACCTAGTGAGTATGAGCCACAGATGAGGCTAATCATCTCATAGCACACAGGAGAACACCTCAACAATCCATTACCCAACAGCTTGAAATGGTGAAATGAGCTGCAGTACCGGTTGAGCTAAGAGACCATGGGGACAGACTGTATTCCCACAACCGTGTTCCCAGCACCCTTCTTCATGACTGATCTCCACATACATTTCCGAGTCCTGCAGTCCCAGTCTTTTGCATCTGCATGAAAAGTTTTCTTTTAAGCTTCAAGGTGGGTTCATGAGCACTTTTTAGGCCAGTTGAATTAAGAATCAGGTTAACAAATATAAATTACACACCCCCTTCCCTCCAAGAGTTAAAAGTTTTCCAGAAGTTTAAAAATTATAGGCCAACTCTGCCTTCCCTCCATCCAGATCTAAACAATAATAGTAAAATAAAACAAATAAGAACAGGACAAAACCAACCAACGAGAGCCAAAGATAGGGGAACCATAAACAGAATGTATTGGACGAAAACAAAATTCTCTCTCTTTTTATTTTTGTTTTATAGACAGGGTTTCTCTGTGCAGCCTTTGTTGTGCTGAACAATTCACTCTGTAGACCAGGCTGGCCTCAAACTCGGAGATCTGCCTGATGCTGCCTCCAGAGTGTTGGCATTAAACTGAAAAAAAAAATCTATTTTCAATAAAAGAAAAATATCAAAATGAAAAAAAATTATAGGTCAAAAAGTGTTTTAAAAAGTCACAAAAAGGCTATCTGAAAGCCAGGTGCTGTTGGTTTACCTGTAACAACGAATGCCCTAAAGAAGGCACCTCGGAAGGAAGCGATGGAAAGATCACATCAGCACATTGATTTTCTTATACATCTTTTACAGGTAGTCTGAAGTGGCAGCATACAGAAGAATATCTCTATGCTCAAAAGTCCAGCTGCTTCTTTGTTCTTCTTACTAATCCAAGATTTCATTCTGAGCTACACTTCTACCTCGACAGGGAACACTTTCAGGGTTACTTCAATGACTACTTTCTGTTACAATTACATGCTTTCATAGCTTAGGCAGCCTTATTCTGAATGGCTAGTTTGTTGCATCAAAATCATAACCACACTATTTTTCCAAATAATGGTTTTCCCCTAAATTACAGATTGGCAAAGAATGGCAGGATGAACTTATGAGCCAAGGATTGCCGTTCACCATCAGAAGCCAGGAAGGAACCCTTTCCAGGCTTGAGAGTGGAAGATAGCCTGGAACACACAGCTGGGCTTGACATGACTTCTCGCCGCCAGATCTGCACCCGTTTCTGAGGTTTGAAGCCCCTGGGTCACGGGTTACTGTTTTGATGGCTTAGGGAATTATACACGTTGGTACTTCTGATGTGCCACAAAATGTTCTCTAGGGTAGTACTGGTCGGTCACTGTTGTGGTAGAAAGGAGACATCAAAAAACAATGGCAGTCACTAATGCTTTACCATCACTGTGGCTGGCACTTGAAGACATTTCCAAAGTTAAACTTAACCACACAGAAAACAAGCTAAACAATTATTTTTAGAAATAAATCTTTCAATGTTTTATCATATTTGATAGCAGCTTTTTTATTGGTTACAAAAACCTAAGCCCATATACAAAATTAGGAACACGTTTAGATGCCTCTTTTGAAAGAACATTTTAGTTATTTTTAAACTGAGTTTAAAAAAAATAAAAACAATGCAATTTTAAAACACTGTTTTGAAAACTTAAAAGTGCAGCAATACACTCAGTTCCTTTGTCTACGAAATGGTGCGATTCCAATTCAGGCCTGGTAAGGTCACGGCAAACTGAATCAAGCAGACGCACAAGTCTGCACTGCTTGATGCTACTGTTACTTAAAGGTTAGTTTGCACTTAGGACGCGAGAGGAAATAGGGATCATCACAGTAAGAGGCCCAATTTTCATCTCAATGTGTGCAAATTTTAGAAGGTAACTGTCAGTTAAGTAGGGACAGTTCAGAAGAAACTAAACCTGAAGGGGGACAATTCACAACATCAAGAAGATTTGGACTTTAAGGGTTTCACCAAAGTTTGTGACCTTAATTCATTCTTTGTTATTCCTACTTTTAGTGAACACTACAGTTTCAAAATTTAGACAAGTGTTTGAACAGGATGCAGTTACCATATGAAGCTTTAACTCAAAATTTGGGTAAAGAAAAAAAGGCACAATGAACTTCAACTCAATTTTATGTGCACAAGAGTTGAAAAATCTGAGCCACCTTAAAGAGAAATTGATTCTAAAATTTATAAAACCTATAAATAATCAGAGGCCAAACCACTATATTAAAACAGATTCTCTAGCAAGTAAAAATCTTGCAGTTTAAACATACGCTTGTATCCACTTTGGATACAAGACAAAGCTCACTCTTTAAAGTGGCTCCACCTTGGCAGATACACACGTCTGTAATGAAGCACACCTGCTGTGTTGTCTCTCAGGGAAAACACCCCAGCTGGCTCACAGAGCTCTGATGGCATCGGCTCCTCTTCGTGACAGTAGACACGCCCCCCATCTGAAAACTAACTTAGTTTAGATTTCTATCCCTTCACATCAATGTATTGGGAAATTATACCCAGTGAACAAGAGCAACAAACCATTTCTGTGACAGCACAAATTATTTAGTTTAAAAAATTGCAAATCCATATTCATTCATCAGTATCTGGGTCAGACAATTTGCCAAAAGCAATGACTTTACATAGTAATACCAGATTTTACAGATGAAAGAGCTCTGCAAATCGGGCTGAGTTAAATAACTGCACATCATTCCTCTACACAGATCCTGGCTTTCTCTTTAACGTGCGGATGCTCTGAGTGGGATCAGAATGAGCTCCCCAATCCTCAAGAATGAAGTCTTGGAACACTTCTAAAGAGTTGCTGGTTGGTTGCCACCACTTTATCAAAAGTACTGGTTACTAAGTAAAAAATGTTTTAAGACTAAATTACAGTAAACATGAAAGCTCCACAGTTTAAACCCAATATAAATCAACCATATCCAATTATCAAATTAAAACAAAAAAATAACTCCTGGAAGCTGAAAGCAAGACTATCTTAAAACATTACCAATGAGTATTTTAGACCTTTTTCCATTCCTGTTTTGACTTATTTATTGACGTATTTTTTTTTTTTTTTTGTAGTCAGGGACTCTTGCTTTCAACTTAACAGAAGTTCAAGTCTGTAACAGGTTGCAGCTCAGGTAGAGACCATGCACAGCATTTGATTATTCAAAACAGCAGGAACACACAGGCTGAGTGAGTGGTCAAATAGGGTTTGCTGTTCTCAAAAATTAGGTATAATGGTGAAAGCATTACCATTGGTATCTAAAGCTCTTGCTCCAACCCTGGCTTCTGAGGCAGATAATAAACACATCAATTAATGGTAGGTGAAGTACAGTTTTAAAAAACTTATCTTTTTTAATCAATAACCAAGTTTCTTGTTTTTAAGTTATTACTTTTGTGTGTCAGTTCCACCAATGAAAACCATTTGGCTTGTACTTTAATTCTTCCACATAAGAATATGAAAATATGTTTGTGGAGGACAATGATGGAGGCTCAGATCACACTGCACCTCTGTAGTCTTCCAACACGAATGTACATCATACCAAAGTGTCTTGATCCACAGTGCACCTTTTTCCAAAGGAGTACCAGCTGGCAGCTGATACGTCACCACTATGGAGAATTCTAACTGGAGACTGCAGTTGTCAGCATGTGGCACCAGGGAACATGGAAAAAATAGGGTAGTTGAGATTGTTAAGGAGAGTTCTATAACAGTTCAGGAAATCATGCATATGCATTTACAGTCCATGTGAGAGTGACTTTTGGCAACTGCAAAGTGACTGAGACATGGCTTGCTTTAGAAGCATCAAAACCAAGAGGCAAGAGTGCTGGGAGCCTTCTGCTGCTTGCTGTCTTATCGCTTGGTGGCCATCTGGTGGTGTTTGTATTGAATGAACAATGCTGCACTTAATGGACCTTAGAAATTAAATTCCTTTGTCTGGAGGTTGGCTGTTGGATCAAAGTTGTAAGTACCTCCTTGTGTTGCTTCAGGAATGAGGCTGGGATCTTCATCAATCTATAAAAACAAAGAGAAAACTCCAAATGAATATTTTAACTGCCTAAAAATATCCAGGTAAATTAGTGATAATTTCATGATATATTAAACAAACAAATAATTTTTAAAAGGTGCTTGGCTTAGTAAGTTTCCATATCACTTCACGTGAGTGTCATTTCCAGAATTATCTCTTTCCAATTAATAGATTATAAAACTGTATCAAGAAATGCTTTTATAATTTTTCCTTATAGTGAAAGTGTGATAAAATGTTTAAGAAAGTGATTAGTGGAGTATCTAACAGAAAACAAAACAAATTTCATGCACATTATGGCGGACAATGAGGGCTGCTGAGAAGCCAAGGACAATGCCACTGGGTTTTGATCCTACTTCATGTTCTGGCTTTGTGGGAGCCTAGCCAGTTTGGATGTCCACCTTCCTAGACCAGGATGGAGCAGGAAGGACTTTGGACTTACCACAGGGCAGGGAACCCTGACTGCCCCTCAGACTGGAGAGGGAGGGGGAGAGGAGGGGGGGGAGGGGGA